TCTTGGAGATTTTACTCAGTCACTTTCCATCGGTGTGGCCATGCAATTTGGACATTTCAGAACTGCGTGGACCAACACAGACTCAAGGTAGATGTCATTAAGTTCTGCCTGTCCCCAAAACAACTGTATGTTTATCTGAATTTGGCTCCCCTGGCTGGCCTTGAAGGTCATCTTATCTGAATTCACCTGGAGAACATGTGATCTGACGTTCACCACCTCCTCCCTGAGGAATTTCCAACTGATAACCAGATGAAACCAACTAAATAAACTTTGTGTCATCATTTCAGGACTCTTGGATTCTCATAGATGTTATCCTTGGTCATTCCCCGACATCCCTCAAGAATATCTACGGATCTCATCAGAGGCCATTGACTGTTTATTCCATTCTTATCAGAACTCTTACAGCGCCCTCGAGAGCATCCATGGACATGCTTGCTCACCACTCTTGTCGTCTCCCCCCTCTGCAGAATGTTTAAGTCACTATGTGCTTTTTTGTGCGAGGTGTTTTTTAATATCAGAGTTTTTCTTCTCAGGCAAGAAGAAAAAGTCTGATAGGAATTTTTTCGCCTCCAATTCCTACATGTGTCCAGTTTCACTACTTTTTGTCTGTCTAAACAAATCTCACTTGTAAACGAGTCTTCTAGACTCAATGTGACTTATCTGTCTAAATAAAGGTTGAATGAATTTACATGAATGCTCCTACAAGCACCCTGCATATGTTGGATGCTGTCCATCATGGTGCGCTAAGATTCATAACTGGCTGCAACTACCATACCCACCACTGCACCCTGTATTCACTGGTTAACTGGACATAATTAACTTCACACAGACTCTCTCATTGGTACATTTTCATCTTTAAATCACTTCTTGGTCTGCTGCCTTCTTACATCTCCTACATGTCACTGCATGAGTGCAGCTACAGCGTGCGCTCTCTGGACATTATTACCCGCAGTGTTCCCTCAGTGAGGACTGAACTAGGCAAAAGGGCCTTCTCCTACTTCACTCCTGTTTCCTGGAATATTTTTCAAAAAGATTTGAAGCTCTCAACCTTGACCTCTCTATGTGGCTTTCTAACATCTGTTAAGTTCCTGACAAAAACCAATGCAGACGTGTTCCTGCTTTTAGTATTTTATATCACTTTATAATCTAGTTGTTCTTGTTCTGTTTTTAAATATAATTTTCTTCCCTTTATTTTTTCAATTTATATGTCTTCTTTTAAGATTGTCTACTGCTGTCCTCATTCTTTGTTAAAACAAGCGTCTCTTGTAAATGAGTCCTCGGGGCTCAATGAGACTAACCTGTAGAAATAAAGGTTGAATGAATGAAAAAAAAAAGGTCTGTTTGAACTCCTGGGGACGCAACCACTCAACATTTTTAGTGCTTTCCACCACCCTGAATGTTCCAGGCAATTTGAAAAGTACTACCTTTCTACCAGAGACATAAAGGACACCCCCACCCCACCAACCCAAATTAAATAAATAAATAAAAATAAACATCTTCTCTGAATAATGTCTGCTTTGTGACACTTGGTGGACGGCTCTTTCTAGGCAGGTGGTGGCAACATCTCCTCGTTTTCAGTTATGGATTTATTTGTGCTCTGTGAGAGTTCAGGTTTTTATAGGCCGACTCTTTAATGTGTGTGTTTCACAGCTTTGTGTCTGACGTGTGTGGCATTCTTCAGTCAAACCGTCGCTTGGTTTTGATGAGAAGTTTATGGTGTGGTGGATTTATTAATTTATTAATGATTGTTTTGCTGTGAAACTAAATGTTTTTCAGCATTTCACTTTATTAATCTGGAGTATTTAGAATATGGCTCGTTACCTTTAATCAAAATGTAAATCCATTAAAACCCAAATTGTAAGACAATGAGACAAAGATACCAAAAGGGGTGAATACTTTTGCACCCCCTGTATGATGAGAACATGCAAACTTCAAGAGCTCCAACAGAAATCTGAATTCAAAGTCTTTCATGTCAATTTAAACACATTTATCTTCACTTTGTTATCAGAATGTCTTTATTAATTTTATTTGTTCTATAACTAATTCACAAAGTATGCTTTCTTTCTAAAGATAAACGTGCCAGATTATTTTTCTTTGATGTTCTTTTTTATTTTATCTCTCTGAGGGAAGCTTATTCCAACCTCCTGCTCTTGTCAGTTTGCTTATGGGGGAAAAAAAGAGCTGTTTTTGCTCATCAGCGTTATTTCCAGCAGCTATCATCATCATCCTCCTCATCATCATCATAAATGTGCTTCAACATGCTGTTACGGACTGTTTGCACTGTGGGTTTAATGTCAGGACTGTTCCGAAGCCACAGCTGGGGGGGGGCACATTCTCGTTCCTGTGTGGGAGGCGGCAGCGACGAGACACTGATGGTAAATCGATAGTGATGGATCAAAGCAGGGCTGGAGCGCAGGGATGTTGGGGTAGAGGGGTGGGACAGCACTGAATCCTCTCTTCTTGTTATCCTTTCCTCCCTCCACATTTCTCTCTTTTCATATTGAACTCCTTGCTTGCTGTCCCCCCCCCCCCCACACACACACACACACTCAGCAGCAGGAATTGATACTTGGTGTCATGATCTCAGAAGGGATCAAGATGGAAAGTTAAAATGCCACACAATCAGCATCAGAGCAGGAAAACTGTGCACCTGTCTCATTGCTTTGGTTCACCTGCAGATCTGGGTTCAGTTTAAATATTATAACATATTAAGAATTTTAAAAAAGTATTTCTGTATTGTATAAAGGATTGTTTAAACAATGTATTAACACAATTGATTGTAGTTGTGGGGGGAGTATTTGTTGGAGGGTGCTGTAAGTACTTTGTATGTGTAAAACTGTATGACCCTAAATACATGTTTGAAGAAAAATTTACCAAATATGTTTTGTAATGTGTACATCAGCAGATAATTTTGTCTATTTAATCCATCCATCCATTATCTTTTACCCACTTCTTCCATTTTGGGTCACGGGGGTCACCGGTGTCCATGTCCGGCAATCAATGTGCGAGGGGCGGGGTACACCCTGGACGGGTCGCAAGTCCATCACAGGGACACAGAGACAAATGAGACAAACAACCAGTCACTCTCTCACTCACACCTAGGGACAATTTAGAGTTACCAATCAGACTAACATGCATGTTTTTAGTTTGTGGGAGGAAACTGGAGTACCCGGAGAAAACCCACGCACGCACGGAGAGAACATGCAAACTCCACCCAGAAATGCCCTCGGACCGGGATTTGAAACGGCAACCTTCTCGCTGAGATGCAGCAGCTCTACCAGTTGTGCCACCGTGCTGCCTTATTTAACACATAAATTAATTAATTCATAAATTTAAAAAATTGTATATTTTAGAAAGACAGTAATGTAAGGAACTCTCGTGAGGGTTTGGACCAAGATCACAACACAACAAAATGACGATAAATAATAAGTGTTTATTGTTTCTAGGAAGGAAGTGACAGCTGGTCTTGGTGCTGGTCTGGGTTCTGGTTCTGGTGTCGGTTAATGGCAGGGACAGTCTAAGAAGCAGAGAACGGTTAGTGGTCGTGCGGGTAATCAGAGCGAGGAAAACAGTCAACCAGAAAAAGCCACTAACCGTCTCAGATGATCTTAGGGGTCCTGAAGGGTTGAGGTAGTCAGGTCTGCAGCTGCCGGAGGAGCTGAGTCCGGTGAAGGACGCCAGTCGGCCGCAGCTGTCTGCGTGGCCAGAGTCCGTAATCCAAGAGGGGAGGTCAGGCTTTCCTAGGTCCAGTAACGTGAGGCAGATGTCAGGCAGTACCAGAGAGACAGGCAGATCGGTGGTCGTGCAGGCGTGGGTCGGTACCAAGAGCAGAGGCAGAAACAAATCCAAAAGGGAAATCCAAAGAGACGTGGTCGAGGCAGGCGGAGGGTCCAGGAACCAAGAGATCAGGCCAAACACGAAGGGGAGGACAACCAGAAAGAGGGACAGGTAGCGTGGTGGGCAAGACAAGGAGCGAGGACTTGAACAGGGACAAGAGAGGGGAACAAGGACTACAGGCATGAACGCGAGATACCTACTAACTACTAAGAGTGTTCAACTATCGGGCACCGAAGAGTTGACAGGGTACTGCTTATAAAGGGTGGAGAGAACAGGTGCAGCCAGTCTGAGATAATCAGGCCAGCTGACTGCAGTGCAGACAATTAGTGCAGTCAGCCTTCACCAACATGCAGAGTGGACAGACTGGTTCTCCACATACACACACACACATGAGAACCAGGTAGAAGAAGATAAGGAGTGAGAAGGAAAAGAACAGAACAGGACTGAGAAACCAGAACTAGTGAACAGAGTGATAAAGATCTAAATACAGGGACGTGATTCATGACACAGTAACTGTGAAATCGTAATCATGACCATTTGCTAATTCACCCACTTGTTTGTGGACTTTAAACATTTTTTAAAGTTTTACAACGTAAATTTATTTAATTTAACCTTTATTTATCCAGGTAGTCTCATTGAGTCACGAGGACTCATTTTCAAGAGAGACCTGTTTGGGGGCAGGTGGTGGGGGTTAAGAGCCTTGCTCAAGGGCCCAGAGTGGGGGAAATTAAGGTGGAGGCAGGTGTGGGTGTTTCACCTTTTCCACACACATTTTAATGTTGTTGGTTCGGGGAGTCGAACCGGCAACTTTCCAATAACAGGCCCACCTTCTCTAACCTCTGCGCCACCAATCCCCATATACAGTATAGTAACCGTACTGGTATATGAACCAGATTTTCTAAACTCCATAAAGCCAAAAACTTAAAATAATTTTAAACATATACTGCAAAATTAGTTGTTTCCCCCTAAATATTTTGTTAACTATGTATTTGAATGTCTTCTGACATCCATCGAGGGGTGCTGAAGTATCTTCCATACATTCCATTACCTTGCTAATGGTGTATTTGTGATTTATTTATTGATTTGCTTAAAACAAAAAAACTGTAAGTTTCTCAGTATTGTTTCATTTTGTTAAAAAATAACCACTTGATTCTGTTTTCTAGGAGAAAAACACTGGCCGGTCCGCTCCCAGAGTCACCATGGTAGGGTTGGCTGTTTTTTTGTTTTGTTTAAAGGTCAAAGTTGCCTCAAACCACTTTCTTTTTATTAGCTCAAATTTATGAACCAGATTAATGAAAGTTTCTGGTCAGTATCCTGATGCATGCTCAATAATCCAGGTAGAAAAATAAAAAAAAAGTTCAATCTGGTCCTCTGGACATTCAAAAAAACAAAAAAACAAAGCAAAAAAAATAAAATAAAAATAAAAATGTTGAAACATTTTGTCTCTCATCCAAGAGACTTGCTCAGTCTGAGGTGCTGTTTTCAGCTCAGTCTCTTAAATAGCACCTTCTCAGAGTGGATCAACCAGTTTGCTGCTGACAACCAAAACCAAT